TTACACTGTTAAATACAGGCAACAGTAGTATACCGCTGTTTAAAAGTCATAAATCGATTGAGGGAAAACAAATCCGGGTTACAAGCTAAAACCGAGGAAAACACATCAACTATAAGCGGAAAACAACTTAAAAGAGGCAGACAAATACTACAAACAATATATTGCTATAGATGGTGGAATGAATAAGGTTTCATGATGCAGGGTAAAATAATTGATAGATAAGGATTTTGTCATCTACGTAATTGAAAATTGAAAAAAAAATTGAAACACATTACAGTTATAATTACTCTCCAGAAAAAAAGAATAACAAAAATACCGAACTCAAAGGTTATATCAAAAAGTGGGAAGTTCATAAAAACTGACAAAATCAAACGTTATCAATCAACAGAACGATGAAAAAACAACTGCAATATTCCTGACTTGGTACAGGCATTTTCCGCAGACAATTCATTTCATCAAACACCCACATTCATCAATACGTTTTACATATCTGGAAAAGTCTAGCCATTTGCAAATGAAACTATTAATGATTTGGGAAACATGTGTTGATAGAGATTTAACCATAACCGAGACAAAGATAAAAAAAACAGAATTTAGTGAAGCAATGATACATGGAATAATACTGTAAATTGATACCCAGTACAATGTAAGAGAATATGTAATACATATGAATCCTAAGAGGAAAAGTGTACAAAAAAAAGTCATGTGACTTAACAGTGTTAAATGACTCATAGCAAATAAAATACAATAACTAATAGAGTAAAACGCTTAGTGAAATTGAAACAGTTTAAATTTTCGAATGTAAATAAAATAAAAATGTAAAATAATGGTTTTTATTGTTGGGGACAATCGTTTAACTTTCATGTGGACAGGGTGATTTTGAAAATGAATACCGTGGCCAGAGAGGCTGCAAAAATAACCTTGCACAGTGAAAAAGACTAAGCACGCGTAGAAACATATGAAAATGAATAGCTAATCCGCAAAGAATCATCTTGCCCCCACTCCTTCAAAATATCAAATGGTGGTCCCCTTCGTCTTTTTTTAATCAACACGATAGTCTTTACTATTACTGGACATAGAAAGCATTGTGGCTATGCAAACGTGGTTTATTCCTTAAATGTACCAGTTTTGTGTCATACCCCCATATCCTTTCTTTTCTATGAATTAACATTCAAATGCATGACTGTTTCAATTGCGACCGAGGGACTTAACAGTCTTCCCTGAGTCATATTCAAAAAAATATTAATCTTTTTAAAAAATGGAATTGAGTTCTGTGTTTAATATGTAATACCTTTCTTCAAAAGTCAAAGAACGTTTAATTGTTTTCAAAAGTACTTTAATCTAGAAACTAGAAAATATGTGTGGCTTTATTCCATTAATAGTGAACAAAATTTAATCAACTCGAACATAATCTGGAAACAAGTATTCAATCTTCATTGATTTGTTAGCATCTTTTATGTTAGTTTAACAAAACTCTTAAGATGTTTTTGTGGTAATTAAATATTCGATTTGGTTTTCGCATTAATCTTTCCTTCAATTTCAAGCGCAATACAAATGAAATTGAATTTACAGATCCTTGCATAGAATTGCAAAAAAGATTTTTTTTTAAATAAATCAAATAAAACAATAACAGTAACAAATGAATGGAATAGAATATGCAAGTTATACGTTTCTTACTAGTATGCAGTTTAATACCAAAACAAACATTCACTTTATATTGCATATCTTTTTTAGCGATCAAAACGCCTTGACTGCTATACCTTATCTATGTAACATACAATCACTGACCGTATACGGCCTTGAGCCACTATTACCACAGATAATATTAGAGCCAAGCATTTCCTCTGATTCGTGACGAATCCCTATATCGTTATTGTGTGAAGTCAATAAACTATTACTGTCTATTGTGCTGTTTGCCGATAGCACTACAGTACTTTAATTACATGAATAACAACATATAATCATTACTGACATGTAGTAATCAAAGTAAGAACTAGATGATCTTCTATTAATAATGCACCCTAGAAGATGAACTAGATCTCTCTATACATATACTAGTAGTTGATATGCTGAATTTAAATGCAACAGCGTTTACTTGCCTCTAAATATATCTCTGAAGTTAGCTCTAAAACAACGAATACCCCTAAACACACATACACACAAACAAACAAAACCAGTCATTACAAGGTGGCTTACTCTTTCAGTAAATTTCGGACAAGCTAAATAAAAAATTCAAAAGAAGTGGTATGATTGCCAATGAGACCAAATGGCGTAGAAGTTACTATTGAGAGAGAATCTAATTAATCATCAAAACAATAATATCTGAACCAAAGAAATAATACCATTCAGACTGCTTTGGTTACAAAGTAAATTACATATACTCAATAGTTTTCAATGAGCAAAGAGGTTTTTAAAAGACAGCGATACCGACATAAATATGTAATTTATTATATTCCTGCGGAAAAGAAATTATTTGATAATCCGTTTTATTTTATTTTATGATATATTGTTTACCAGTCACTCCAACCTAAACAAATAATTACTTTTTATTATTACATACTATATTTCTAAGATGGCCTTATCTGTATTTGGATCAAATTTATGGGCAGGGGTCATCAAAAATCGTTGATTCTATAAAGTGGCCTCATCTGTATTTGGGTGAAATCTTTCTGCAGGGGTCAACACAAATCGTTGGTTCTCATTAAAAGCAATCAGTATGCAGACTTTGGCTTGTCCGTTTGCCTTTTAATGGTTATCAAATTAGCTAATGGCATCGTATAATTGATAAGGAGAGAGACGTATTTTCCGTAATGGAACTCGTTCACAATTACCGGCATTTTTGTACAATTTGATAGTTGAAAATATGTGTCAAAAAGATCAACTTGACCAGTTTCCAAATCAAGGACAATTATGTTTTGTTGTTAGTTTGAAAATTTTCAAGCAATTTTTCCCCCCATCTTCAAAGTACGATTTTTATTTTGTGTAATCAACCCCTACTACAGTGTTCCCGACTCAGATCCCTGAAATTTCACAATCTGGTTGCACATAGAGTTTATTTGTGCAAACGATATTATCGAAATATTTATGAAATTTACGTTATCTTTACAAGCTTAGGAACTTATACTTTTACTCAGCAAAATTTTCAAATTTCAAAATTCTTTGTTCATACATGTAACCTGGATCTTTGGAACTTCACAGAAAGTTCGCAAATCTATTGAGTTTGTGCACCTTCCATTATGGAGTAGTATACAAGTGTGTCCCCATTCATATTTCCATATGATTGAATTTACCGTATCAAACTTTCTTCATTGTGAAACATTATGTGTTTTAATGGGATGTAACTCAGAAATTGACAGTTTATAAAGGAATCTACATTCATTTATCTGTTTATGATATATCTGGGAAAATGTACGATGAACCCATTTTTTCTTTTGATATCATAAAAACACTTTAAAAAACCTATCTTCGCATACATTATTTAAATATTTTATCTATTAGTTTATATTCACATAATGATTGTTTTTTCTCTGTACAATCCATTACATACAAAATGTGTCATTTTTTCACAACTTGTAGGTTGAAAACAAGCTAGGTGACCAAATCATTTTTATTATATTTTTGAACATATCAAATCAATTACTAAGTTTTGGCACAGTATGAAAAAGATCTATCATTTTTCGTTTATTCTCCATATATCACTTTTATATATACATCTTTGGAAACTTCAGGTCATCTCTTTCACAGATGTATGTACATGATTTCTAAATTTAGTCTATCTTTTTACAGAGGACATTTCTGTGAATTCAGTTACTTTTTTAACAGACTTGTATACATCCTTTGTAAATTGAGTTTACCTATATTCATCCGTTTAACATGTTTCATTTCTTATCCATTATCCAGTAGTTTTATTTGTGTTAAGAAAGGAAATAATCAAATTTGATCCTTTTATAGAATTTCTGTGTAATGTTTTGGCTTTAATCAAATCTTTTAAGGATCCAATGAGGTTGAAAAAGATTGAAATTTTAATTGTAGTTATCATTCTGTAAGAATTGACATCACGACGTCAATCAAACTGCCACAACAATGTTGTAATTCTATTATTTTAGTTCACTGTACGATCAAAATCGTACTAAATATACACTTACAGACAAAAAGTGTAATTATATATCGTGGAAATAATTAATATTCTGGATAAAAACGAACTACTGCATTTTTTTTACTTAAACATGTTTTTATTCAAACATTGCAGAAATTTCTGCCATGACGTTAAAGTATATAAAACGCATATTTTTGTTAACAAAGAATGCATTAGATTTAGAAGTATAATAAACATTATTGCCAATTCGGAATCTGCAACACCTGACCCGTGATTTTGCAACGATTGAACTATTGACGTCATATAACGATCAATTTTTCATTGTTGCGGCTGACATTTGATAATAGGAACGGCGAAAAAATAGCTCGTAATCTTCAGAACATAACAGTCCCATCATTAAATAGATATATATATATATAATGGGATAATGAAAATTATAGAAATATTGGAGAACATGAAGTTCATATTAACAAAGGCTTATCCTCATTTTCAATGCCTGTATCTTCTCAAAAGTATTTGTAATATCACGGTTTTAACAATACACAAGATTCCAATTTCGAGTTTATAAATGAACTGCTCCTCTGTTGACATAGGGGGGAAACGCGTCATGGGGCATTATGACCAGTTGGAAGATCATGTATTGATATGGCACATGCGTTTGTTTATTAAATCTGGTTTCCAAAACTGTTGGCCTCGTGCGTACCTGATACGTTCTTCACAAACACCTATTGTGCGCATGTCAATTGTATCATTCCCTTTTGCTAGCAGTGGGTCGGTACATAGAACTATTATATTGAGAATATGATACTTCAATGGTAGGTACAACTGCATGTGCATTTTCCGTCCACGTGCTAGAAGCAATTGCTTTTGGACTATCAGTACACGATATTAATTTCCATTTCAGACCGCACTGGCACATGCATGTTTTAGTGGCTATCTGCCGATTGTTGAAGTTTTGTCTGAAGTACCGGGGGTGGATGTAAACTTAGCAGACAAAGAAGGCAACACACCGCTAATATTTGCATCTCAAGCAGGTAAATTAGCATATGACCAATATCTTCTGAATACAAGTGAAGCAGGTAAATTAGCATAAGATCTGTATCATCTTCATAAAAATGAAGCAGGTAAATTAGCATAAGATCTATATCATCTGCATACAAGTGAACCAGGTAAATAAGCATATGCTCAATATCTTCTGAATACAAGTGAAGCAGGCTGATAAGCATACGATTAATATTTTCTGAATACAAGTGAAGCAAGTAAATTAGCATACGATTAATATCTTCTGATACATGTGAAGCAGGTAAATTAGCAAACGATCAATATCTTCTGAATACAAGCAAAGCAGTTAAATTAGCATACAATCAATTATTTCATATCTTTTGATTACAAGTGAAGCAGTTAAATTAGCATACGATCAATATCTTCAGAAAACAAGTGAAGTAGATAAATTATGATACGATCATTACCATCGGCATACAATTGGAGCAGGTAAATAGGATCTATTCCATCTGCTTATACGTGAAGCAGGTTAACTAATATAAGATCTATACCATCGGCATGCACCCGAAAGAGGTACATTAGTAAATTTTAAGATCTAAAAGTGAAGCAGATACATTAATATAAGATCTATATCATCTGCATACAAGTGAAGCAGGTTAATTAGTATAAGATTAATACCATCTGCATACAATTGAAGCAGGTAAATTATTCAGTTAAACTATTTTACCTGTTTCAATTGTATTCCGATGATATGGATCTGAAATTAAGATCCATATCCTCAGAATACGATTGCAATTGAAGCAGGTAATTTATATAAGAAGTATAATCTTTGCATACAATTGAAGCAGGTACTTAGTGTAAGATTTATACTATCTGTATGCACATGAAGCAGGTAAAATGACATGAGATCTAGATCATCTGTATACAAATAAAGCAGATAAATTAGTATAAGATCTTAACCATCCGTATACAAGTGAGCAGGTAAATAAGTTGTAGATCATTCCATCCGCATACAAGTTAGCAGGTAAATAAGTTGTAGATCATTCCATCCGCATACAAGTTAGCAGGTAAATTAGTTGTAGATTATTCCATCCGCATGCAAGTGAGCAGATAAATAAGTTGTAGATCATTCTATTCGCATATAAGTGAGCAGGTAAATTACTTGTAGATCATTCCATCTGCATACAAGTGAAGCAGGTAAATTAGTTGTAGATCATTCCATCTGCAAACTAGTGAAACAGGTAAATAATTATAAAAGCTATACCATCTACAATTAAATGAAGAAGGTAAATTGGTATAAGATCTATGCTATCTGTATACAAATGAAGCAGGTAAATTAGTAAAAGATCTATTCCATCTGTTTACCAATAAAGCAGGTAGCTTAGTATATTAAAATCCATATCCCCTGAATTCAATTGAAGTAGGTAAAAAGTATAAAAGCCTTATGCTTCGCATTCAATATACACGTAAATACTTTGTTAGGATGTCAGTTTTTCATGATTATTTAAAAAAAAACAAAATACCAGTGTACGAGGATGATGAGTCTTTTCACATGTTGGAATTAAGCTGATAAAAATGCATTTTATAACTAAAATGGCAAACAACTGATAGAGTCTTTCATCGGCAAAAAAAAAAAAAAGAAAAAAAAAAAGACGAAGACATTAATTCTTATAAAACGATGTTGACAATGACAGTAGGAATGTCCTTGAAGAGCAAAATAATATTCGATAATGATGCGTTTCGCTCGGGGGATAGATAGTTATATGATTTTTATATTTATTTATTTTCGTATTTATCTACTGAAGGATTAAAAAGTTAATCATCTCTTGTTCGTGAAATGTCATTCGCCCATAAACAATAGTACATAGGACTTAATTTTAAAAAAGTAAGAAAATTTCAGTCAATCAATTGAAAAAAAAATGTATACGCAGGAATTTGACATTTAAAAATGTGATGTTTTTATGTGTCTCAGTTTTTTTTGTTTTTTTTTTGTATGATCAGAACTGATAGTGATTAATTTATAAGAGAAGTGTCTTGCGGATATTTTGTGAGTGAAGTGTCACGAATAACTTCCTTGTTTATTCACGTGACATTATTAACCAGCATGTCAATAAAACACTAATTAGAGAGCAAACAAAGACCAAAAAAAATAGAGTGAAGGATGGATACATGGAAACATTGATAGAGAGAGAAATAGAGAGATAGCGAGATAGAAAGATAGAGGGATGGATGGGTACATGGAAACATTGATAGAGAGAGAAATAGAAAGACATAGAGATAGAAAGATAGAGGAATGGATGGATAGATGGAAACATTGATAGAGAGAAATAGTGAGACAGAGAGATAGAAAGATAGAGGAATGGATGGATAGATGGAAACATTGATAGAGAGAGAAACAGAGAGACATAGAGATAGAAAGATAGAGGGACGGATTGGTACATGGAAACATTGATAGAGATTGAAATAGAAAGACATAGAGATAGAAAGATAGAGGAATGGATGGGTACATGGAGACATTAATAGAGAGAGAAATAGAGAGACAGAGAGATAGAAAGATAGAGGGATGGATGGATAGATGGAAACATTGATAGAGAGAATTAGTGAGACAGAGAGATAGAAAGATAGAGGAATGGATGGATAGATGGAAACATTGATTGAGAGAAAACATAGAGGTAGAAAGATAGAGGGATGGATGGGTACATGGAAACATTGATAGAGAGACAAATAGAGAGACAGAGGGATAGAAAGATAGAGGGATAGATTGATAGATGGAAACATTGATAGAGAGAGAAATAGTGAGACAGAGAGATAGAAAGATAGAGGGATGGATGGATAGATGGAAACATTGATATAAAGAGAAATAGTGAGACAGAGAGATAGAAAGATAGAAAGATGGATGGAAACATGGAAACATTGATAGAGAGAGAAATAGTGAGACATGCAGAGAGATAGAAAGATAGAGGGATGAATGAATACATGGAAACATTGATATAGAGAGAAATAGTGAGACATAGAGATAGAAAGATAGAGGGATGGATGGATACATGGAAACATTGATAGAGAGAGAAATAGAGAGACAGAGAGAAAGAAAGATAGAGGGATGGATGGATAGATGGAAACATTGATAGATAGAAATAGTGAGACAGAGAGATAGAAAGATAGAGGAATGGATGGATAGATGGAAACATTGATAGAGAGAGAAACAGAGAGACATAGAGATAGAAAGATAGAGGGACGGATTGGTACATGGAAACATTGATAGAGATTGAAATAGAAAGACATAGAGATAGAAAGATAGAGAAATGAATGGGTACATGGAGACATTGATAGAGAGAGAAATAGATAGACAGAGAGATAGAAAGATTGAGGGATGGATGCATAGATGGAAACATTGATAGCGAGAAATAGTGAGACAGAGAGATAGAAAGATAGAGGAATTGATGGATAGATAGAAACATTGATAGAGAGAAAACATAGAGATAGAAAGATAGAGGGATGGATGGGTACATGGAAACATTGATAGAGAGACAAATAGAGAGACAGAGGGATAGAAAGATAGAGGGATAGATTGATAGATGGAAACATTGATAGAGAGAGAAATAGTGAGACAGAGAGATAGAAAGATAGAGGGATTGGATGGATAGATGGAACCATTGATAGAAAGAGAAATAGTGAGACAGAGAGATAGAAAGATAGAAGGATGGATGGAAACATGGAAACATTGATAGAGAGAGAAATAGTGAGACATGCAGAGAGATAGAAAGATAGAGGGATGGATGGATAGATGGAAACATTGATAGAGAGAGAAATAGTGAGACATAGAGATAGAAAGATAGAGGGATGGATGGATACATGGAAACATTGATAGAGAGAGAAATAGAGAGACAGAATGATAGAAAGATAGTTACATATTTACATTTTTACATACATTTTTAATATGCAGAACTTCACAAAAAAATGTGTGACGGTCGACGCTTCAACATTCCAATAAAATAAGAAAAATAAACAATTATAGACAAGTACCACAGGAGAAAATATAAAGCTTAGTTCACTTACAAAAATTATTATAATTCTTGTGATTTTAAAATCGGATAATTCCACAAAGGTTCTCATACACGTGTGTCTAGTATGAGGACTGTAGCCTTTTTCGGAGACGAGGTATAGAAATTAAAGTCCAAAATCCAATGGATCGTTAGTGATTATATTTACACTCTAGTCAGGTTAAGACTCCGAAATAGGAAGAATTTTTGAACGAAAGAGGATTTACCCCTCTATTTATAATAGAGAAGTATATACATATATACGTATATTTGTACCCTTCCAAATGTACAGGCTAATTTTGTAACAGTTTCTTAAACAATATAACACATTTGATATCAAATGAAAAAAAAAATATAGACATAATATCTCTTTATCGGATGAATGTAAAAAATAATTTGAAATTCAAATTACAAAAAATCTTTTAAATGTCCTGCTTACTAAAATGTATGGTCCCCCTTTCAAAGTATTCATTTAGCATATGCAGCCAAATATCTATAATATAGGATTTGCATTTTATTTGATTTAATTGTCAACTTTTCCAGTATTTAAGACTAAGTGGAGAAGTCATGTTAGAATAATGAAATGAAAAAATCTCATCACAGATAACAAGTTCTAATTTTACAGATTCGGAAAAACATCTGCAGAAAAACATTATCGATGTCCTTCGATGTAGAAAAATCGTCGTTATATGTCAAAATAATAAACGTCACTCCAATAACAAGGTTACCATCAATTTGTTACCTAAATGCGTGAAAATTAGCCAAGGATTTCATTTATAACAGAAATCAATACAACGTCAACTCGTAATAGATTTTCCTAGTGAAGAAAGAATTCAATTAATTAAGAAGAAAGGTAGTTTGTTTGACAACCTCAATCCATTTATAAAAATTTTGTCGAAAAGTAGAAAACACAAGTTTCTTATAGTGATACATAGTCTTTCTGTCTGACCATCAAAGCAACTGGTTAAAGAGTTATTGAAATATTCTTCATTTTTTTTTTCTGTTAATTGTAACAACCCTTTCAATTTTGCAATACAATTTTTGGTAAACAGGACATTGTCTTTTAATCCCTCGAACACAATTTATCCTTTAAAAGTGATGGATTTTACAGAAATTTAACACTTAATTAGTGCAACTAATGCGTTGTACTGACAAAAAAAGTAATTAAGGTTAGACATCAAATTGAAATTTAACTTGCATCGAGTTCAAACTGACAAGGTCTTACTTCTTCTCAATCGATCAATCGATCAATCGATCAATCGATGACAGAGAAAGAAAGATACTAGTTTATTGATGATTACTTTCAAATTTGAACTTTAAACTTCATTCATATCAGACATGTCAGAGCTGGGAAAGATACCAAAAGGGATATCCAAACTCATTTGTTTAAAAAAATAGCAATGCCATGGCATAAAACGAAAAACGATCAAAAGACAAACAACAGTATCAAATACAATTTTATTTATACGTTTTGAAGATAACTGCTCATCCCCTTGTCCATTCTATTTTCATCATGTCTTTTTTTTCTGCAAATCATTTCCTCCATATCTTCGTACTATTTAAAAAATAACTAAAACTAATACACACATACATCCCCTTCGTGTTCTTAATCTTCGAATGTTATTTGGCCTTTTTGGCTTTTTTGATTCGGACGTCACTGGTGGGTCTTTTATGTGCAAGACGCGCGTCTAACGTGCAGGCTTTTAAGGATGTTCGCTACTCTGTTTCAAAATAACAAGCTTTTTAAAAGACTTATATAAGTTGATAGTATATAAATAAAAAAACTAAAAAAGCAGAAAAAAATGAAAGGTCGGTGTGCTTGTTTTCGAGATATAAGCCACTGAAAATTTGGCGGGAAATAATTCTCTCTAGATTTTTCGTACATTTAACATTAGCATCTGTTTTCTTTCAAAACCGATGAAAAAGTAACAAGGATTTTATAAGATTTTCAAAAATGACATTTTAAACTATATGTAATCATATTATGGAGAGAAAAGTCGGGGTTAGTGGGCAAAATTTTTTAATGGCACTACATATATAAAACCAGAGGATTCCGAATATCTGGCAAAAATTCAAAAACAACAGGAGCGAACATCCTTAAGCATAGTATCTATGATGAGTTTATAAATATGTACATTTTTAAAAAGTGCATTGATTTAATAAATACAAAAGAAAAATGTGAGCATTGATAGTTCGTTTCCATTGACGTTAAGATAATAAGTGTATAGTATGTTGTTGGTGGATTAAATACAAAATATAGAAGTATAAAAAATTATATTAGTGCTAATAAAATACAAAAACTGATATTAATGCCAGAGAGGGAAGATAACTAATATCTGAATATTTGTGTGGATAAAAGTGCAATAACTGATATTAGTTTGAAAAAGTACAATAACTGATATTAGTGTGGAAAAAGTACAATAACTGATATTGGTGTGGAAAAGGTACAATAACTGATATGAGTGTGGAGAAAGTAAAATAACTGATATTAGTGTGGAAAAGTACAATAACTGATATTGGTATTGAAAAAATACAATAACTGATATTAGTGTGGGAAAAGTACAATAACTGATATTGGTATTGAAAAAAATACAATACCTGATATTAGTGTGTGTGTGTGTGGGGGGGGGGGGGGGGGGGGGGGGGGGGGATACAATAACTGATATTAGTATTGAAAAAAGTACAATAACCAATATAAGTGTGGCAACAATACAAAAACAAATATTAGTTTGTGAGAGAGTACTATAACCGATACTAGTATGGCAAAAAATACAATAACTTATATAAGTATGGGAGAAAGTAAATTAACTGATATGATTTTAAGAGAAAGTACAATAACTGATATTAGTGCGGAAAAAAAGTACAAAAAACTGGTATTTGTTAAGGAGAAAGTATAATAACTTATTTAAGTGTGAGTGAAAGTACGAAAAGCTGATATTAACCAGGAAGAAAGCACAAAAACTGATATAGATGCGGGCTAGAGTACAATATGTATTATTCCACTGTTTAAACATATTGATAGTTTAATCAATATTTGATTGGTTGAGACTATCCCACGTGGCATTGAACAAATCTTCATATTCCATTCTGATGATCATATTCCTCTCTGAAATGGCGGGATTACTTCGTGCGACGTTACGCGCAGTTAATGTACATAACGTTTTGAACTTCTTATTCTTCTTAAAATAGCGATAGCAAAAATCATTGTCATGTTCAAATTTATTTCAGACGATAAAACAAAAAGACTTATAATTAAATTTTGATCCTTACTGTTTATCAATGGGTATGTCGTGTTTAGTTTGACTTACAAAAACAAGCGGATAAGAAAAAAATGTATGCCAAAAAATATTTAATGTATTGATAGTAAACAAAGCATAGGCAGTGGAATAAAACATTCATTTCCCTTTGCCTCGGGAGATATAAAGATTTGATCACCCTCGAAAAATCATATTTCCCTCGGGCAGAGCCCTCGTGAAATATGAATATTCTTGGGTGAATAAATCTTCATATCTCCCTCCGGCACGAGAAATAAATGTATAATATTAGCGCGGGTAAACGTACAACAACTAATACTGAGCAACACGAACCCCACCAAAAACTGGGGGTGATCGCAGGTGCTCCAGAAGGGTGAGCAGATCCTGCTCTACATGTGGCACCGCCGTGTTGCTCATGTAAGTAACCTGGTGATACATGTAAGTCTTATTCGGTAGGTCACATTCGGGGAAAAGGGGACAAGATTGTAGTTACGACAATTAAAACATATCCTTTGTCATCTGTGAAACGGATATTCCATAACGGACAACCAACTCGTGATGGCATCCGTAAAATTTACAAAGGGACGATTTTAACTTCACCATTTGGAACTCTTGGTGTAATAGCTTTCTTGTGAGCAGCAACGCTCTAGCAAGGAAATCATGTTAGGAAATACAAGCCCTGAAATATCATATCAACTAGGAGATATATACTCCGTATGCAGGTGCTGCGGGAATGTTGCTACATAGAAAGGAAAGTTCACAATTGGGAAACTGAAATCATCTCTTTTGTCGTAAAGTTTAGTTTTCAGCCCACCATGATTGTCAATTTCAAGATGTAAGTCAAGATATTAGGTAGACTTAACTGTATCTGATGTATCCTTTATCTCAAGTTCGATTGGATAGATGCGTTCAACAAAGTCACCAAATTTTGAATTATTTAGTGAGAGAACATCATCTATAAAGCGGAAAGTGAATTAAAAGATACTGCTTACTTCTTTTCTTTCTTTCTGTATGAAGTAAGCCTCGTATGAACAAAGGAACAAGTCGGCAAGGAGATGAGCACAGTTGGTTACCATGGGAATGCCGATTGTTTGTTGAAAAACACATCCTCCGAACGTAGCAAATATATTGTCAATCAAGAAATCAAGCATCTTGATAATGCCAGTTTCAGAGAATTTTTTGTTTGAATCAGAGTGATTTTTTACCATGTAAGATTTATCCCTCTCTAAGACAAGAATTGTGTATCTAAGCAGGCCATTCTTTTTTATGAAACAATACAGGACCAACTCTTTCAATTTGTCTTTTAGTTTGGAATGGGGAATGCTTGTGTAAAGTGTAGAAAAGTCAAATGTTTTAATACTACCAAAGTACAGAAAAGGATATAAGTGCGGGAGAAAGTACAGGTGCGGGAGAAAATACAAAAACGGATATAAGTGCAGGAGAAGGTACAAAAATGAATAAATAAGTGCGGGAGAAGGTACAAAAATGGATATAAATGCGGGAGAAGGTAAAAATTGGATATAAGTGCGGGAGAAAGAAAAAAGGAAATTAAATCGTACGTTTAATAGAAAAAATCTGCAACCAAACGGCCAGCTAGCATTATAAAAACATCGGATTCCTGGTTTAGTTTCGCTTACATAGATTGTTTTAGTACTTAATTTCAAAATTAAGAGAGTCTCCAGAAGAAAAACGACATGAGGAATGTTTTCGTTATTATCTAAATTTCTTGTATTTTGTAGGATATAAAGAAATACTAAAAGTATTATTGAATGATTTCCGAAAAATAAAAGTCGATCAGAAAAGTAAAGCTGGATTTACGGCTTTGATGAAGGCTGCAATACAAGGACGTACAGCATGTGCAAAACTCATATTATTCGCAGGTATGTGTTCGTTGTGTTAACTAGGTATGAGATTATCTCCCAAATGGATCATGATAACCCATTTGCTGTATCAAAGCCAAAATAGGAATAAACGTTTTCAGTGCAAAAAATCTTAATTTTAGAATTTAGCAAAACCAAAGTGCATTTGTTTAGGTCAATTATAGCAGAATTCAGATAGCAACTTTTCCAGAAAATGAATAAGTTGCTAGATTGGTCCCTCTGAAAATCTGCATATTTTAAGGGATCAAATGATAAATAATCCGGTATAGAGAAAAGTTGCTAACCAAAAGTCGCTTCCCTTTATGTAATCATTTGCATTTTGCAATATTTTCTATTGAAACCAAAAACAAAAAGTTTTTGCACAGTAAAATCATATCCCATTTGGGGTAATATATCCCAAACGGGATATTTTAGCCCATTTTGGAGATAATACCCAATCTGTTTACACGTGTTTCAAGAAAAAAATGGACATGCAATTGTGTTGATCTGGTCATTCCCGTCTTGTTTTGGACAGTATCCTATATTCAAAATCACTTAATGTATCGTAATATAAAAAAAAGGCAACTTTACTTGGATACCTTGAAATCGAATTTCAAAATAAATTAAATATTTAATCAAAAAATTTCCTTCACATATGCATGTTGTAAAGACATGTCAGACATCAATAATATCATTTTTCAAATTTGTCATACATATTTACTTTAGCGCTCTTAACTTCTAGCATTTAACGCAAAACTGTAAAAACTTCCATAAAAAAGTCTTGTTTTGAGTTTCTGTAATCAATATGTTAAAATAAACCAAGTGTAAATCATCTAAAACAGATACTAAGCTTCGGTACCACGTGTTTTAAACAAAGATGTACATATGATTAGGTACAAAAAGTGAATTTTTCAGGGACTGAGCGGTGGTAAGGAAAACGAAAGGAAGTCATTACAACTCATACCTCGGCCAAATATATGATATTATAAACACACTAGTAATTTGAAGAATTTGACTTTTATGCTAAATCTCTTTTATCCTTACACATCTCAAATGCACTTTTGATAATTCCAGTATATGACATATGCTAGTATGGTATGGTTGTAAATGAGAGAACTCTCCACCAATACGAAAGAACGTGGATATAACCAACTATAATAGGTCATCGTATGATCTTCAAGAATGGGCAAATCCCACACCGGCCATCGTATGACCTTAAAGAATGGACAAATCCCACACCGTATAGTAAGCTTAAAACGCGGCAATAACAAAATGAGAAACACAACAGCCTGGTTTAAAATCATGTCGAAACAATAAACGAAAAAATAAATTGGCAGAAAACAACCAATGAAAACCCCTGAATAACGTTCTCCTGGACTTGTTACAGCTACAATACGAATGAATCCGGTTTAATTCTACAAGTAACAAAAATCTGTAAGATCTGTACACCACTACACCACTAAATGTTTTACTTTCAGGTGCTAACCCTCGTCTCCGTGATAACGGCAGAAAATTAACAGCAGAGGAATGGGCAAGGTTTACAAACCGACATGAATGTGCTGATGAAATTGCTAAATTTACAAAACTAAAACGGTGTCTCTTTGGTGGAAGTAAAAAAATCCACAAAAGGTCAAATAGTGAACCGGACTTAATAATTGCAGCAGAAAAATGTAAAGAATGCAAACCTATACAAAGACAGAAATCTAAATCGTTCCGAAAGAAAGTTAAGAAATTCATTCCATGGAGTAATGACTCGTCTCCATCCCTTAAAGACCAAAACCCTTTTGAAATTATAGCACGATGTGTGTCAACACCTGTACTTCCGGGTGGCCTTGCGCCGACAGTGGCGCAACCTAGACTCAAACGCCCTGTCAGTGTTGATCATATCCCAAGAGTTGAAATTACCTCACCGATTGAAAAAGGTTAATGAATATTATGCTACATACTTTTTTTAATGGAGTATCGCCTAAAGAAACAAAACAGCTACATGTATACTCTCAGGGGCGGATCCAGAATTTTCGAAAGGGGGTATAATTCCCGAAAACTGAATATATATTTAGACTTTTTTTGTGGACGAATTTATGCTTAACAATTGCAATTGTATACATCACGAGACACATGAGATCATTTTACCAACTCTACGTACTTTCCGTGGATCCGCTACCGAATCTCCAGGTATTGTTACTGGATGACATATCACAAGCTATTTGTCAGATTTGTTTTTTTTTTTTAGATATGTCTATTAATAAATTAGATGTATTTTTATATACCTTTTTACATCTCTTTAAGGCACCGTGATGGGGGAGGAGGCAGTGTATTTCCATCAAAATAAAGACTTTATTTTGACTTTGATGAAAAAAAAATCGAGGGCATACAGTCAGAAGAATTGATCTTGAAACTGAAATATTGAAGTTTATTTTTCACTCGAAATTTCAGCGGAAACAAACTATTTATTTCTCGATTCTTTTCTGAAACAAATTCTATTCGATTTTTACAGGCTTAAAAAAAAAAAAACTTTCCACCTCAATATTAAGTGTTTTTGCATATCTGAATTGTAAGAATACTATCTAGATCACAAATTGTCCTTTCAAAATTCAAATTATAAATTACCTTAAAAATAATTTCTTTGTTTATGATCACATCCTTTCAACATATCATATAACCTTTTAAGACACATAAAAAACATTCCAACAATATTCTGTATTTGAAAAAAAATTGGTACAATAAAGGAAGGAATAACGCAAACACACGAAAATTAACACGCATGATTTTGATTACCGTGTGAATGACACGTGTTTCTAGTGTAGACTCTCAGATACGCTCGGGACCAGGGGCACGAAAAGTGTTTTTAATGAAGCCTTTCTGAGATACACACGAGACCAGGGGCACGATACGTGTTTCTAGTGAATCCTTTCTCAGATACGCTCAGGACCAGGGGCACGACAAGTGTTTTTAGTGAAGCCTTTCTCAGATACACACGAGACCAGGGGCACGATACGTGTTTCTTTTGAAGCCTATCTCTGATACAGTCGGGACCAGGGGCACGACAAGTGTTTTAATTGAACCCTTTCTCAGATACGCACGAGACCAAGGGCACGATACGTGTTTCTGGTGTAGCCTTCATAAGATACACCCAGAGACAAGGGGTACGATACGTGTTTCTGGTGTAGCCTTCCTAAGATACACCCAGAGACAAGGGGTACGATACGTGTTTCTGGTATAGCCGTCCTAAGATACACCCGAGACAAGGGGCATGATACGTGTTTCTGGTGTAGCCCTCCACAGATACGCTCGAGACAAGGGGTACGATACGTGTTTCTAATGAAGCATTTCTCAGATACACACGAGACACGAGGCACGATACGAGTTTCTAGTGAAGCCTTTCTCAGATACACCGAAGTCAAGGGGTACGATATGAGTTTCTAGTGTCACTATTGTCACTACAGCTGATTAAAGGTACATTTCCCATGGAAATATTAGAGTTCCCTAATTCACTAAATAAGAATAGAAACATTAAAACATGTCAAATGATAACACTGATTACCACTGGCAAAGTTCCAGGTTGGGGACAGGACCATAAAGATATGTCGGAGCTAAACTTATTAAAAATTATTTCTGAAAGGGAATCAATTTATCCATAGCAGAGAATGTAGAGGGCTTGATAGTTATATAAATAAAAAATGTTAAACAAAAACAATTTCATCTTATCTCGCAATATGAAAAACAGCAGTAACTGTATTTTTCTCCTTTTTTAACTTTTTGGTAGATATACAATGACACTTTTAGTGTTCTTCTTTCATTGTCTATAGTAAACTTACAACAAATTGTAAGTCATAAAATAAACCAAATACTTCCAAATAGCAGAATTTATTGTAATTCATAAAATTTGAAAGTAATAAATTTGTCAGGACAGAAATTCAAAATAAAAGTGTTTGTTTGTCGTTGGTTTGTGTCTGCCATATTTGTTTTTCGTAAATTGTATTGTATAGATTGGGTCGTTAGTTTTTACGTTTGAATTGTTTCACCTGTTTCATGTCGGGGCCTTTAATTATAGCTGACTATACGATATGGGTTTTTCTCATTGTTGAAGGCCGTACGGTAACCTGTAATTGATTTATCTTTGTCATTTGAACTCTTATAGATAGTTGTTTCATTGGCAGTCATACCACATCTCCTATTTTTTTTAATGAAATAGTTCTTTTACCTGTATGCAATCGCAAAAAAAAAATGATTTAAGTCTTTGATCTAGCTGCAAAAGACGATGATGCTACATTAAACTGTAAATTACCTGAAAACAGACTAAGGGTAAAATACAAGACTTAGTGTATATAATACCATTTATGGAAAAAAGTTTTCCATAAAGTATTTAATCCTCATCCGTACTTACAAAACTTTGGATTCTTTTTGATATTTACCTGAGAATCATAAAAGACAATTTTCAGGTGTCTGCGAAAAATGAAACAAACAAAAAGATTTTTTTATATATAATTATGTATATATATATATAGACGAGTAACAAATTGAATTAGGAAATTTGACCGAATTAATAATAATAATCATAATGTCAACTTCGTAAATTCAAGGATTATAGCTAGAAAACGACCTTAAACACGATTCTTGATTTCGCATGTATATAAATTCATACAGATTTATTATTATTTTTTTATAAATTAAATTCCAAAATACACAGGCATGGCTCTGAAAGTTGCAATTGGCAGTTCAGGGAACAATATTACATAAAATGCAGGATGATATTTAAATCGAAAGCAAAAGTGAAAGATTTAAATTCTAAAATCAGCCACTTGACGGTAAATAGTAACAAGTCAATAAACGACGACACAATACGATCAACGTGTTTCTATCAATCATTTAATGATAATAAAACACTTTTGAATGTAAAAGTATGATAAAAAATACCTTTAATTAAGTGTAATTATTTTTTTTTTATCAAATGAAAATGTTATAGACTGCTCCCAGTTATTAGTACCCGTCAGTTACGTTACGATATTTCATAGCTCTTTTACAATTTCCGAAAAATAATTTCCCATGGGAACTAATTATTTACTAATGTTCCCATGGGAAATTGCAGTTCCGATGGGAAATTTAAAATTCCCATGGGAAAAGTACTTTTTCCGATGGGACTTTAATTTTTCCCATGGGAACTACTAATATTCCCATGGGAATTTTTAAATTTCCCATGGGAAATGTACTTTTAATCAGCTATAGTAGTGACAACAGTGACATGTTGGGACATACGGGAAAAATTTTTTTTTAATTATCTATCACTTGGCCAAAAACTACTTTTGTTATCTTGTAAAACAACAAAGTCAGATTTGCCAATTCTTGTCCCGCACAGTGTTTTGGACTCGACACGTATTTCTGGTATAGCCTTCGTGAGACCCTCGAGACCAGGGACACGACACGTATTTCTGGTATAGCCTTCATGAGATACTCGAGACCTTAGACTCGACACGTATTTCTGGTATAGCCTTCGTGAGATACTTGAGACCAGCGACACGACACTTGTTTTTGGTATAGAAATCATAAAATACCAAATCAAAAATTGATAACCAACACACAAATAACAATCAGAAATGTTTGAGAGAATAACAAAAAATATATTGATAAGATGTTAAGTCAACTAACTGCTAGTAGTCCTTTGTTAATTAATGTATCATTGTCATTTTGCTTAGTTTCTTTTGTTACCTATTCTGACATCGGACTCGGACTTCTTTTAAACTGAGTTTTACTGTGCGTATTGCTGTGTGTTTGTTTATTCTACATTGGCTAGAGGTATAGGAGGAGGGTTGAGATCTTACAAAACATGTTAAACCCCGCCGCATTTTTTATCCTGTTCCAAGTCAGGAGCCTCTGGTCTTTGTTAGTCTTGTATGTTTTTAATATTAGTTCATTTATATGTTTTGGAGTTTAGTATGACCTCCATTTTCACTGAGCTAGTACACATTTTAATTTAGGGGTCAACTGAAGCCCGCCTCCGGGTGCGGGATTTTCTCGCTGTGTTGAAGACTCGATGGTGGCCTTCGACTGTTTTCTGCTCTTTGGTCGTGTTGTTGTCTCTTTGACATATTCCCTATTTCCATTCTCAATTTTATTTTGTTTAAGTACAGTTACATTATTCTGGAAATTGAAAATTACATATCTGTACCATTTAAATCATGTCAGTTCTGACGAACTTTCTATGGGCATTCCTCCTAAGGGCCTGATAGCCTATCAACAATGTTAAAAAAACCTAGACAGAATCAAACATGGTTCCCATTCTTATCACATACAGGTACTTACTACAGAACATGTTTAGTATACACAGTCTGACACGAAGATTTAAATTATTCACTGGAATCAAGTTTTTTTAAATCTCGTCATTTAAGGAACTATTACAACACACACAGTTACATGAAAATAGTTTAGACAAACTGTATTGTCCCAATGACAAGAGGGTCACACTAACATGATATATACAATTTATCCATTAACAGATTAACATAAAAAAAAATAGGAACTAGGCCATTTGATAAAAAGTGCAGAAAGGAAATGTTATTTCTTATGTTTAAATGCTGTTTTTTTATACAAATAATAATTGAACAAGCGCGGTGACCTCTCTTTAGCTGCTATCAGACTTGAACTCAAGTTTTGTGCTAAACAATTAGGCATCTGCATACGTAGTACTTACAGAACGACCAATGAAGTTAATCAATTTAGATTCACTACCTGACGTCTTAATAAAAAAAATGTGATCACATAAATATGTGACAACTTATAATGTTTGTGATGTGCAAATATCTAAACTTCTATTATGTTATCATGTTGTTTAATGACTTAGGGAGCAATCATTTAACTTCAAGGAGGGGGATTGGGGGGTTATGGTTTTTTGTCCGAGTTGGAAAATATATATTTTTTTTTAGTTTTTCGACGCTATCAATCAAATTATTTTTTCAAAATTGAACACTATCAGATATGGGGAAAATCTGGATTCAGAATATTTTTTTTGGTCATCTGCTTGACCACAATTTTTTTTTCTTCATCAAATTCAAATTGGGGATCAGAACATTGTTTTAGGACAAAACCATAACCCCCCTCCCCCCCCCCCCCCTTTGAAGTTAAATAGTCCCCTTACATTCTCAAACAATAAAATAAACACTATAAAAATGAATTGCATTGACATTATAGCAAAGTGGGGATAGTTGTTTTGTATTTAAAACAGAAGAGAGACGTAAGATACCAAAGCGGTGTTTAAATTCATAAGTCGA